TTTCTGAGTCTGTTTGCTTTGCTTCTTCTGACTCCTCTGTGCTTCCTCCTGTGCTGTGCGCGCTGCTGTGATTCCGATGCCTCCTTGTCTGAGGCCCATGCACGCCTCAACAGCCCTGCCAAGGCGTGGCCGTGCGTCGCGTCCCAGGGAGGGGCTCTGCCAGTAACTACCCAACTGTCCTGCCTGCCACGGGTGGTCCGTCTCACTGAGGGGCTCTGCCAGTGAGGAGTGAGGACCCGCCTTCTGACCCGTTGCAGAAACTGCCTCACCTCCCCAGTGTGGTAAGTCGATTGGTGGATTTATTGGGAGGGCAGAGAAGTCTAGGTCGCCGTGCGGCAAGTCATAAATTCAAGTTTCTCCTCTTCCAAGTCTGCTTTCTCTGATGATTCTGACGCCCTCTCCCCTGTGCGTGTTGCTGTGATGTGGTGATGTGTTGAATGAGGCCCAGGCACGAGACAACAGTCCTGCCTGCCAAGGGGTGCGTTCCAGGGAGGGGCTCTGCGAGTGATTCAGGATCCGCCGTAGTAAGTCCTTTGCGGATAAATTGGGGGGGCAGATCAGTCTAGGTCGCCACGCGGCAAGTCATAGAATCGGGCTTTGCTTCTTCTGAGTCCACTTTTTCTGTTGCTTGTGACGCTCTCTCCCCTGTGCTTGTTGCTGTGATGTGGTGATGTGTTGGTTGGTTGAGGTCCATGCACGAGACAACAGGCCTCCCTTTCCCACAAGGGGTGCTGCGTCCCAGGGAGGGGCATTGCGGGTGAGGGAGAATTCGCCCTTTGTGACGTCTCAGGATTTGAATGCAGTAAGTCGATGGGGGAGTTTATTGGGGGGGTGGAGCAGTCTAGGTCGCCGTGCGGCAAGTCGTAGACCTGAATTTGATTTCTTTGCAGTTTGTTTCCGCTGCTGCTTCTCATGCACTCTCCTGTGTGCTTGTTCCCGTGTGCTTGTTCTGCTGCTTCTTCCGTGTGCGTTGCTCTGGTTCGGTCCCTCCTTGATCGAGGCGCATGGACACGACTACCGGATCTTTCGGAGGAGGCAGGGAGGGGAGCAGCAGGGGGGATGCAGGCGCCACAGCGTGCCCTGGGTGACCTGGGGAGTGGGCGACAGCAGTGGCTCTCGGAGGGGATAGGAGTGAGGTACAGGCAGGCCCTTTCACAATCGCCACCTCCTGATTCTGGAGTGGTTGCATGGAGGTCAAACGGGGATTGTAAGGGAACTGGGTGGTGTGCAGTGGCAGTTGTGGTGACTGCGCGCGGATTTGGAACACAGTGACGGCAGCAGAGCAGCTTTACAAAGGTGTGTGGCGTGGAGGGCAAGTGGGTGGCTTTTCAAAGGTGGCGTGGGACGTGGGAGTCTGCCGCGTAGGTGCCTGAATCCGCATGGTGCAAAGGTGCCCCTTCCGTCCACGCATGGAGTCCGCATAGGTGTTCTTGCAGAGAGGTCGGTCTAACGCATGTGTGTGTGTGTGTGTGTGTGTGTGTGTGTGTGTGTGTGTGTGGGTGTGTGTGTGTGTGGGTGTGTGTGTGTGTGTGTGTGGGTGTGTGTGTGTGTGTGTGTGTACTTGCCCAGCTGCCTCTTTTGTGGTGTGCGTGTGCAGCGGGCCAGAGGAGGAGCACCGTGGAGGAGACAAGCAGGATCAGGAAAACGACCTCCGAGGGAGGGGAGAAGGGAGGGGGGAGAAGAGGGGGAGGAGGGACTGTGTCACTGTGCAGTATGGTAAGATGTTCGCCAAATTCAATGGGGGGGGGGGGGGGGGGGGTTAAGAAGTCTAGGTCGCCGTGCGGCGAGTCTTTGAATCGAGCTTTGCCTCTTCCGAGTCCGTTTCGGCTACTACTGCTTCTGACTCATTCTCTTCTGTGCTTGTCTCCGTGTTGTGTTGGCTGCTCTGGGGTGGGGTGTCTCCCGAACTGAGGCCCAGGGAGGGATGTGGTGACTGACAGTGTGTACCAGAAAGGAGTAGTGTGATGTGAGTGGGAGTGGGAGTGAGGACCCACCTTCTGAGGCACCACGAAATTCGGCTCACCATGGCAGAACAGTGAGTGGCTGGGCAGGTGTATTGGGGGGGAGTAAGGCAGTCTAGGTCGCCGTGCGGCAAGTCTTAGAATCATTCCTTGTTCCTTCTGAGTCCGTTTCCACTGCTGCTTCTGATGCACTCTCCTTTGTGCTCGTTTCTGCGCTGCTGTTTGCTGCTGTGGTTCCGGTGGTGCCTCCTGCACTGGGTCCTGCCGAGCGTTGGTGTTTCTCAGACAGGAGTCGTTTCAGAAGCTGGCTCACCATAGCAGCATGGTAAGTGATTGGGTCGACCTATTGGGAGGGGTAAGGCAGGCAGTCTAGGTCGCCGTGCGGCAAGTCTTACAGTCGCGTTTTGATTTTTCAGAGTCCGTTTTATTGCTGCTTTTGCATTTTTTTGCCTTTCTGTGCTTGTTGCTGTGTTGTATTGGTTGCCCTGGTTTGGGGATCTACCTGACTGAGACCCAGGGACGCGCTGACAGTGCGTCCCATGACGGTGCAGAGTGAGTGAGAAGCCGTCTTCTGAGCCGCCTCAGGCACCACAACAGCTCACCATGACAGCATGGTAAGGAATTGGGCGGGTCTATTGGGGGGGTAAGAGCAGTCTAGGTCGCCGTGCGGCAAGTCTTGGAATCGCTGCTTTTTCTTCCGAGCCCACTTACTCTGCTGCTTCTCATGCGCTCTCCTTTGTGTTCGTTGTTTCTGTGCTGTGTTTCACTTCTGTGGTTCCTATGCCTCCTCCACTGAGGCCAATGGATCCTTCAACAATCCTGCCAAGGGTGGTGCTTCTCGGAGAGGGGAGAGGGGCTGTGAGGGAGGGATCGCATTCTGAGCCGTCTCAGAAGATGGCTCACACCAGCCGCATGGTACGTGGTTTGGGGGGGTCTACTGTGGGGTTAAGGGCAGCCTAGGTTGCCGTGCGCCAGGTCTTAGAATCGGTTCTTGTTTCGTCCAAGTTCGTTTCCTCTGCTGCTTCTGTGTGTGTGTTCCTGTGGTCTGTTCTCTGGTGCGGGTGGGTGCCTCGTGGGCTGAGAGCCATGGAATGAACGTCCCAGGGACTTGAATTGTTGCTCCCAGGGGTGCTGCATCCCACCCATCCCAGGGACTGTCACTGAACGTCTTGTTCTCATCCCAGGGGCGGCGCGTCCCAGGGACACACTGGTGGGGCGTGGGTGTTTGCTTGCAACCAGAGGCCACAAGGCAGTACAGGCAGGGCTCGCATAGGTGCGCGTATCCTCTCCCCGGCCTTGCATGCATGCATGCTCTCAGGCACTTGCGTGCACATGATGAGCCGTGCCTGATGCGTGCACACATGCACACTTGCGTGCGTGCAAACGCACATCAATGCATCAGCAGCATGCTGGCCAATGGAAGCAAATTGGAGCACGTGGCTCAAACGGTCTCCAAAGGTACGCCCTCAGGTGGCCCCTCAGGTACCCCATTTCGGTCACCCTCAGGTGCTTCGGAGGTGCCCCTTCAGGTAACAGTTCAGGTACCCTCTCAGGGCGTATCCCTGGCTGGTGGCAGGGCCACTGTAGCTGGCAAGGTTGGTGGCAACTTTCCCAAAAACACAGGGGCCCGGAAAATGCGCATGGGATACGCCCCAAAAATACAGTTGCCCTGCCACCACCCAGGGATACGCCCTCAGGTGCCCTGTCAAGGATCCCCACAGGTATGATTTGGGCTTTATCAGAAGTTATTCAACTTGTGCACTGAAGTGGGAGAGCCCCTCACACTAGGCAATTCATTTCCTCCAGACCCACCCTAACCCCTCGGCCCTGCCTGTGCAGGTGCGTGCACCCAAGAGGAGCACGGCAGCACGGCTGTCAAATGCGGCGCTACGGGAGAGACTGTCTCGGGAGGTTCAGTGTGAAGTGTAAGTTCCATACTCCTCTATGTCTTTACTGGCAACCCCTGCTGTGGGTCTTCTGCTTCCTCTCATTGACTCTCCCTTGCCTTCTCATGCGGGTCACGGCACGACTCTTTCCCGCCCTCTCACCTGGTCTTGGGACTGGGTCGGGCGTTTTCTTCCGAGAATCCTAAAACAACACCCTCACCCGGTCTTGAGAGTTGGTCTAACTGCGCAATAGACTTCCTCAATATACCCTTGTTTGCCTATGGTGCTGTAGACTGTCACCGAATATGCACGGTTGTGCATATAAGGTGCCAGTGTTGTTGCAGTGTAGTGCTGGTGTAGCAATGTTCTGTATGCAGATTCGAGGATAGGTAGGTGGGGGCTGGGAAATTGACGCGAGGATGGTAGGCGAGTACCGAGGGGTGAAATCCACGCAACCAATGTGAACGAACCAACCCAGGCTCGAGCCGCACATTGAGAAATGCACGGTTCGAGCTTGGGCCAGGTAAATTCACTCTCTCACACACACCCGATGCTTTCCAATTGTTATCCTTTCGTATAGTGGATTGTTGTTGCCTTAGCACTGCAGACAGGTGGCACACCACTCAGGGAGGACCTTTGAGGTGAGAGTTCCATTACTTTCATAAAGTGGGAGGCTGAGGCAACAGGGGAAGCTAAGGAGAAGACGAGCGTCAAAACTAAGGCAGACGACGGTATAGCTGTACCTCCGACAAGACGCCCACTTAAAGAAGCCAAAATGTCATGATATAAGCTCTGTTCAACGTTTATGCATCTGGTTCTGATCTGAGGCAACCTGCCGCTTTTCTGCCACTTACAACCTGGAGCGGATTCTATTGGTCTATCCATGGGCTCCGCACCCAAAAAAATCCGAGCACCATGCGTAGGTATGACCCAGCACTATCAAGGTCTGACAAAGCATTTTGTAGGAGCCTGTAGTCGCCCAAAGAAAACATTCTGAAGACTCTGCATCATCCCTCCCTTGGTATGACCGCACTCTGCATGTCCCTGAGAAGACTTGCATGGTGGTCGATCACACCGCGTGCCTGCTGCTTCTAGAATCGTCCGATGCTGCTCTTGATCTTGGCCCGTGTCGAAAGAAGTCTCCATACAACAGCTAGCATGTCCCGTTCTCAATCCCCTGAGCCGCCATAAGTTCTACCACACGCCGTGCCTGCTGCTTGTAGAATCGTCCGATGCTGCTCTTGATCTTGGCGCGTGTGGCTTCACTAAGCTCCTTGTGCCATGCGATTGCCACCCGCACATGCAGCACCGACCGCACCTTCTCATCCTGCAACACCCCCTCTTGTAACCTGCCCGCGCTCCCTGACACCCCCCCTGCTGCCCCTGCTCCTGCTGTACCGCCAGCTGTTCCTCTCTCCCCACTTGCTCCTCCGACGTCGCCTGCTGCCGTTCCGCTTGCTGCTGCCCCCCCGCGTGCTGTGAGTTTGAGTGCGCCTGCAGCAGCAACTAGAGCCGAGGCGACAGCGGCTGCTCCCCTGGCAGCTGTTGCAGCAGCTTCTACTGAGGTTGAAGATGAGCAGGGCGTGTCTGCTGGGCTGCTCTCGCCACCTGCTGTGCCCGCTTCTGTGCCTGCTGCAGTGCCCGGCAGAGAGAACGTCTCCTTGGCCTGGACCTCTTGAGAGATCTCCAACTGCCAGTGTGGTTTGCGTGGACAGAAGGGGTGGGGGCAACGGACGAGCGATCTGAGCAGGTTTAGAAAGAGAAAGAGAGAATGGACAAACGAGCAGGTGCCATTTTTTAGGATTCTCGGAAACTATCTCGGGAGAAGCTCCTTGCTCCATGGCACCTGGTGAGGTGTGTTTTGAGGCGCCTCAAAAGCGCGTGCAGTGAGGTGTGTTTTGAGGCGCCTCAAAACACACCTCACTATCTCGGGAGAAGCTCCTTGCTCCATGGCACCTGGTAAGCAGCCTGATAGTTTTTGTCAGACAACTTGATCCGTTCCACCTGACAGCAATCTGTTGTTTCACCTGAAACAGTTCTGCTGATCCCGCTGAAAGCTATCTGTTGTTTTCACCTGAAAGCTGTCGCTGAAGGGCACTCTGTGGAGAGTGAGCACTTGCTCCAAACATGCCCACTGGATTCCGCCCTCCTGGCTGCCGCCCCGGGTGCCGCCCGGGGTGCCGCCCGGGGTGCTGACTTCCTGTGTCATCTGCTGCACCGCTGTCACGGTTGGGGAGAGGACAGGGACCTGCCCAGGGGGGCGACGGGAGAGGCAGGGGGGCGATTTGTTGGTGGAAGGAGGAATCCGCTCGCTGGCCTGGCGCCTGACTGGCAGCCCATATTGTTTGACATGCAATCATGGCAGTGATTGATCGGTGGAAGGGGAATATCCATAAATTTTCCTCACCTGCCCCTGAACAGTGGCCCTCTTGTTTTCTAATGCGGACACTTGGGTGATTGGTTGGTGGAAGGGAATGCTCATGGGAGGGATGGGCGAGACAGAGACATGCTGACATGCTGACCAGTTGGACAACTGCCTTGGGCCCAAGTGAAAGAACCAATGCTGACTGCTGAGTGCTGCCAACCAACGCTGACCACCCAACACTAGCCCCGAATCTTCAAGATGGGAAAGGGGTGAGGGGGGGGGGGGCGTTGTGGGGACAAGAGCAAAAATATGAGGTGATTCATTTCCCCTCACCTGCCGAGAGAATCGGTACTTGACGCTGCGCTGGCGCCGAAGAACGCCGCCCACTCTGCCGCCCGCCGCCCGGCCCTCCAGCTGCCCCATCCCATCCCCCATACCAGCTTCCACCGCCTCCCACTCGCCGATCTCCGCCCCCATCTGCCCTGCTTTTTCCATCATAGCAGCTGTGGCTGCTGGGTCTTCAAACGATGTCAGGAACTGCTGCACTGTGATGGGTACGCCTACTAGCTGCTCATCTATCACCTCCCGCATCTCCACCCCCATAAACGCCCCTCCCCCATCCTCCACTGCTATTGACTCCCTTCTTGAATCGGTCACCTCCCGATACCCTCCCATCCCTCCTCTTGCCCCCCAAGAATCGCCTCTGCTGCTGGTTACTCCTGCTGCTGCCCCAGCTCCCCCGTCCCTCCCCACATTGGCACCCTCGCCTCTCTCCCCACCAGTGCTACTTGCATCCCCCTCCTCCTTGGCGCGAGCTAGCTGCTGGTCGGTGGGGAGGTTGCGGTTGCGCCACAAGGCAAGGACGAGGCGGAAGGCCACACCCGGGCGGACAAAAGACTGGAATCGGATCTTCAGCCGCCCCTGGGAGTCCACTCCGTGCGCCGCCGCCCGGGTTTCCGCCGTCCCCTTGTCCTTTTTGACGAAGACGGTGATCGCAGGGTTCAGCATGCGCTTGAAGGTTGTCATGGACGATTTCTGGGCGGCGGCAGCCGGTGGCTTCTGGGCGGCGGAGCCCGTCTGGTTCTTGGTCGTTAGCAACCTTGTCAATGAAGGTGGGGTTGTCTGCGACTTGGCGTCTTTTTGAGAGGAGAGTGAAGGCGGGTCGAAGAGAGACGGCACGCTGTCGTCAATCTCGTCTATGTCTTCCCAGAGGAGGGTGAACTTGATGCGCGTGCCAAAGACAGAAGAGTAGAAGGCGAGGAGGCGCGGGGAGAGGAAGAGACGGCCCTGGGAGAGCAGCCCTTTCTTGAGAATGCAGGAGAAGTCATTTATGAGGCACTCGCTCTCTGGTAGGTTGAATAGGCGCTGGAAGGCTGCGTTCTTCTGTGCTGAAAACTCCCGCACGCCGCCCTGGTGGAATGAAGGGGAGGGGAAAGGGGAGAGATGGAGTGGCGTGGTTAACTGCAATGCATGGCACGTGTGGAACGATGCGCTGGAAGGCTGTATTCCTTTGCGCTGCAAACTCCCGCATGCCCCCTTTATGAGGTGAGGTGAAGGATGGGGAAGGCAAGGGGGAGGGGACATGAAGGTAAGTGAGAGGGTGTCTGGCATACTCAGAAAAGATTTGAGTCGACTCAAAACTCACATGGAGGTAAGTGAGTAGGTGTCTGGCATACACAGAAAAGATTTGAGTCGACTCAAAACTCACATGGAGGTAAGTGAGTAGGTGTCTGGCATACACAGAAAAGATTTGAGTCGACTCAAAACTCACATGGAGGTAAGTGAGTAGGTGTCTGGCATACACAGAAAAGATTTGAGTCGACTCAAAACTCACATGGAGGTAAGTGAGTAGGTGTCTGGCTGGCATACACAGAAAAGATTTGAGTCGACTCAAAACTCACATGGAGGTAAGTGAGTAGGTGTCTGGCTGGCATACACAGAAAAGATTTGAGTCGACTCAAAACTCACATGGAGGTAAGTGAGTAGGTGTCTGGCATACACAGAAAAGATTTGAGTCGACTCAAAACTCACATGGAGGTAAGTGAGTAGGTGTCTGGCATACACAGAAAAGATTTGAGTCGACTCAAAACTCACATGGAGGTAAGTGAGTAGGTGTCTGGCATACACAGAAAAGATTTGAGTCAACTCAAAACTCACATGGAGGTAAGTGAGTAGGTGTTTGGCATACACAGAAAAGATTTGAGTCGTCTCAAAACTCACATGGAGGTAAGTGAGTAGGTGTCTGGCATACACAGAAAAGATTTGAGTCGACTCAAAACTCACATGGAGGTAAGTGAGTAGGTGTCTGGCATACACAGAAAAGATTTGAGTCGTCTCAAAACTCACATGGAGGTGAGTGAGTAGGTGTCTGGCATACACAGAAAAGATTTGAGTCGACTCAAAACTCACATGGAGGTAAGTGAGTAGGTGTCTGGCATACACAGAAAAGATTCGTGAGAGTGGGCCAATCTGTAAGGAGGGATGTGACAGACGCAGCAGCAGCAGGACTGCTGCCTCATCCACCCGCTTGCTTCCATCCCCCTGATCCCACCTTGCCGCCCTCTCCTCACTTCCCTCAAATTGCTGCCCACTTCCTTGCTGATCTTCTGAAGCACCAGAGAGGCCGCAGCCTCCGAAGGAGCATTGCTTACCCAACACGTTCATTCGAAACACCTCAACTCCAACAAAGCTCACCTTGCCACCCTCACCTTGCTTCCCTCACGGTCTCACCTTGCTTCCCTCACGGTCCCACCTTGCTGCCCACTTCCTTGCTGATCTTCTGAAGCACCAGAGGGGCCACATCCTCTGAGGTATTGGTCAGAAGCACCCGAACACGGATCCGGGCAGCTTGAACTTTCGCCCGCCTGCCCTCCAGCGGCACCCAGAGGTCCGCCAGGTCCTGCGCTGACTGGCGGAGGAAGTTTATTTCTGCCCGGCCGAGCAGGGAAGGTTCCGAGAAGGGTCCATCGTAGTTGAAAACCTCGATCTCGAGAATGGAAGGTGCGTCCTCCATGGCGTCGAATTCGAGCACCTCTGATTGGTAGGATGGAGCAGAGGGGATGGGAGCGGGTGGTGGGAGGAAAGTTAAACTGAGTTCTCGAGGATGGAAGGGGCGTCCACCATTCCATGGCGTCGAACTCGAGCACCTGTGGTGGTGGAGGGAGGGAGGGAGACCCGGGGTTGGAGCGCAAAGTTTGACAGTATTGTGTGAATGGTCTCCATCTCGAGGATGGAAGGCGCATCCTTTAAGTCGTCGAATTCGAGCACCTCTGGTGGTGGGAGATGGGAGGAGGGGGGGAGGGTGGTGGGAGGAAAGCAGAACAGCGTTCTCTGAATGGCGGAATTCTCTGAATTCGAGCACCTCTAGTGGTGGGAGCATGGGAGAGGGCGGTGGGAGCATGGGAGAGGGCGGTGGGAGGAGGTGAAGGAAGGAGAGTGGAATAAAAAAGGGTCCATCATAGTTAAAAGACCTCAATCCCGAGAATGGAAGGGACGCCCTCCATGCGAACTGGTGGTTGAGAAGGGGAGAACTCAAGCATCTGGTGGTGTGGGTCGGGAGGTATTGCAGCGGTTCAGCTGCTGTGTCGACTCAAAAGTCACTCCGTTCCACTTCTATCACCTACCTGCTCTGCGCTCGCGCACACCTGCCCTGCACTTACCATTCCACTTGGGCATGTTGGTCTGCAGCTTGACAGAGCTGGTGCGAGTCTTGCCGCTGCAAGCAAAGACCACGAAAGGGTCTGCCTTCATCACCACACCCGCATCGCCGATGTTCTCCCCCTCCACCAGCGACACTGTCAGCAGCCACCCCTCCCCCACCGCCTTCTTCCCATGGTCGCCCTCTGTTCATACAGAGGAGTGGCAGCAGGGGGGTATGGGAGACGAGGGAGACGAGCAAGAGTAGGGAGATCGAGACAAGCGCATTGACAGGGGCTGCTTTGATGGCCTTGTGTTGTTCGCCCTTCATTGCTCTCACCTTCCACCAGCGACACCGTCAGCAGCCACCCCTCCCTCACCGCCCTCTTCCCTTGCTACCCCACCACTCACTCGTAATGTATTTCGATACAATGATGCCTTGTGCCATGGTAACCGCGTGGTTGGTGGAAACCAGAATCACGGCAGACCATAGCAGCTCCAGCAGGCTATCCGGTAGGTCTAGTAGCGGCAGCACCACCCCTGCCCCCCATCTCTCACTCGTAATGTATTTCGATACAATGATGCCTTGTGCCATGGTAACCGCGTGGTTGGTGGAAACCAGAATCACGGCAGACCATAGCAGCTCCAGCAGGCTATCCGGTAGGTCTAGTAGCGGCAGCACCACCCCTGCCCCCCATCTCTCACTCGTAATGTATTTCGATACAATGATGCCTTGTGCCATGGTAACCGCGTGGTTGGTTTGGTGGCAACCAACATTACGGCACACAATAACAGCTCTAGTAAAGGCAGCACCACCCCTGCTCCCCACCACTCACTCTTGATATATTTCGATACAATGATGCCTTGTGCCATGGCAACCACGTGGTTGGTAGCAACCAGAATCACGGCACACCATAGCAGCTCCAAAAGGCTATCCGGTAGGTCTAGTAGTGGCAGCACCACCCCTGCCCCGCCGCGTGCAACCAGCACCAGGTGCGTCGGCAGCAGCACCACTGCAAGGAAAAAGACAAAGAGCGCAAGTGGGCCTGCCGCCCGGACCGCAGCCTCAGCGATTGCGCTTTTTGAGGGGTGGAGGTGGGGGGGGACGCCGAGGAGGGAGAGGAGGCGGGCGAGTGGGGAGGAGGGAGGAGGGGAGATTGAGGGCTGGGAGAGTGAGGTGGAGGGTGTGGTGGAGACGAAGGGAGGGACATGCTTTGTGAGCACCTGAGAGAGTGTTTGGGGGGGGGAGTTAGGGGATGCAGGGGACATAGGGGAGAGGGGTTAGATGGAAAATGCAGCACAAATGGCAGACGGGAGAGATGCAGAATGTGAAAATTTCCAGAAGCAGAGCAGACTTGTGAAAGGGAAAGGAAGGTGTGGAAGAGTGAACTGGGGAAGGCCTTGCTAAAGAAGCAATGCAATGCAAGCAAGACCCCAGGGCCGTGAGAGTGACCCTAGGGTCGTGAGAGTGACCCTAGGGTCGTTAGAGTGACCCTAGGGTCGTGAGAGTGACCCTAGGGTCGTGAGAGTGACCCTAGGGTCGTGAGAGTGACCCTAGGGTCGTGAGAGTGACCCTAGGGTCGTGAGAGTGACCCTAGGGTCGTGAGAGTGACCCTAGGGTCGTGAGAGTGACCCTAGGGTCGTGAGAGTGACCCTAGGGTCGTTAGAGTGAGCCCAAAAGGACACTCACAGAGAGGAAGGTGGCATAGGTGTCCTTGAGGCCAGTGGACAAGCCATTCTCTCACTATCAGTCATACACTTCATCATGCTCCTCTGCAGGTCATGCGGCTAACAAGTGAGACGAGATGAGGTCTGAGGTGCCTCAAAAGGACACTCACAGAGAGGAAGGTGGTGTAGGTGTCCTTGAGGCCGGTGCGCATGCCGTTCTCTATCATGCTTTTCATCATGGTGCTCTGCAGGAAATGCGGCTCATACGACACACGCAGCTGACTTTTCACCCCACCAGCCACCCCCCCCGCGGCTGACTCTCTCCCATCACCACCTCCTGCAGAAGCTGGGACTCTACCACTGCTGCTGCTGCTGCTGCTGCTGCTCTGCTCGCCTGTGGCCCCTGCTTCTCCTGCTCCTCCTACACTTTCCTCTGTAAGCGGAGTGATGCAGAACTGAAGGTGTGTTTCAAACGTGCCTCCATACGGCACGTCAGGGGTTTTTGCAGACACAGTGACCAGGAAGCCTCTTGCATCTGCCCGCACACACAGCACCTCCTCTGTTGCCTGCACTGACTTCACCAGGGAGGACGGCGCGGTCATGTACGATACATTGCGGTGCATCACAGCGTCTGCGTCTTCCGGCTGCTGCTGCTCCGCCCCTCCGCCCCCTTTGGGAGCAGCAGGGGGGGACAGGGCGGGGGGGGCCTTAATGCCCTTGTGTGCTGTGCTGCGATTGAGCCTTGCTCCAATGTGACTGCTGTCACTGCTGCTGTCAGTGAAAAACCATGGGCCAATGTTGACTTGTGTCAGCTTGCGCTCTGTTTGGAGTGAATGGAATGGAGGGAAGGGGGTTCTTAAATTCACCAGGGAGATGTGACAATGGGGAGAAAATGTGACAATGGGGAGAAATGTGACAATGGGGAGAGACTTGGGAAGACAAAGCCCTGGACACATGCCTTTTCAACCGTAATATATCTCAACACGCACCAGTGGCGAATTCCTGGAAGAAGGGCGAGTCGGGCTTGAAAATGGCAGCAAAGAGCACATGCGGGGCAGCATCAAAGGCCTGCTCCACCAGCACTCCGCCCCCAGTTAGCTCTCCCGGCATGGGCCCTGCACTCGGCACGTCCCTCATATCCTGCTCCCACCACACCCCCGGCACCTCCACCTCCCCCGCTTCCCCCGTGCCCCCCTCTCCCCCTCCCCCTGGCTCCCCGCTCGCCCCGTCACCCTCCCCCAACGACCCTCTCCGCGACTCCCCCTCCCCCTCCTCCCCGGAAGTCCCCCCAGGCCCAACCCCACCCCCCTTGGCGTTGGCACCACGCACGGACTGCCCTGCCTTGGCAACGCTGTTTTCCACGGCGTGCCCGAAGGACCGGATGGCTGAGGCTGCGGATAGCTTGGACGCGTGCAGGCGCTGCTTCAGCTGCTGTAGCTGCTGCGGGTTGGGCTTTAAGGACCCGGAGAGCGTCTGGAGAATCTGGTTCCGCGGTTTGGCAACGGCTGCTGCTGTTGCAGTTGCTGGTGCTACAACTGCTGCTGTGCCATCCGGACCCCTCTCCTCGTTATCTTGAAGGCCGGTCGATGCTTCCTGGCCTTCCCCTTCCCCCTCCCCTTCCCCTTCCCCCTCCCCTTCCCCTTCACCCTCCACTTCCGCTTTCTCCTTCCCTTCCTCGTTCCCTTCCGTTTTTCCTTTGCCTTCTCCCTCCCCTTCCCCCGCTCCCTCTCCCGATCCCAGCTTTTTCTCTCCGCCCCACGCTTCCCCCTCGTCTGCTTCTCTGCACGGGGAGAGAACAGCAGGTGAGACTGCATCGGAGGGGCCTGTATGGCGGCGCAGCGCGGGCTTGAGGGGGAGAGAAAAGGCGGGGGCGGACGGGGAAGGGGCGGGCGGGGGAGGTGCGGAAGGGGGAGAGGCGGAAAGGGGAGAGGCGGCAAGGGGAGAGGCGGAAGAAGGTCTAGGAAAGGCGAAGCTGACAGTGGTGATGAGGCTGGGGGAAGGCGAGGGGGAAGGCGCGGCGAGGGGGGAAGTAGACGGGGAAGCAGAAGGGGCGGAGTGGGGAGGAGTGGGCGGAAGGAGGGGGCTGGATGGCAAGGTGGAGGGGGAAGCGGATTCCGCCACTAACGACGAAACGCCCCACAGGCTGGCGGAAATCAAAATGTCGCCTGTAACGGTCGCGCGCGGCCGCACGACCCTGTTCTGTAGCGGGAACCACGTCGCCTGCAGCTCGTAGCTGTCGCACGCCATCACCTGTCGCACGGGCAGCACAAGCTGCCCGAGAAATTCCTCCCCCAGGAAGACGCTCTTGTCCCACACCGTTACCAGCAGTTCGTCTTTTTCCATGTCGCTGACCGAAAAGAGAAATTCTTCCTGCCACGTCGGATCGTTTTCCTTAGCTACTGTTCTGCTGCGCGCCTTTGAGCCGCCCATCTGGAGCCGCGCGAACGCGTCTCTCGCACCGCCATTGTCCTTGGGCGGCAGGCCGCGCGCCTCTAGAAGCTGAATCTGAAGCTTGACGCCCATTGGTCGAGGTTTCTACAGCGGGACAAGGCAAGCGCGACATGCGGAGCCTCAACAAGGCATTGGACGGTTCAGATTCACCGTTGGTTCGTCAATCGGGGCGGAGAATCTTTGCTGCAAAAATGCACAGCGCAGCACTAGAATAAAGGCTCGGGGGTGTGCGGGACAAAAAAAACGAAAGGGCGCCTGATATAATCTACAAAGAACGTATGACGCTCAGACGTAGAACGGACGAGTGGAGGGTAGCAGAGTGGGGATGAGGATGGCTGAGTGCTGACGGTGCGAGCGACCTGCCTATGAACGAGAAACTGTCTGAGCGCGGTAGCTATAGCGCCGTCGTGAAATACAGGAAATAAATACGCCGGCTAGGAGGACATGGAGGAGAGAGCGCACTGCGCCGCCATTTGCGGGAGGCTGGGACAAATTTCAAATGATATTTGACAGGTCACGTCGAGTCATCATGGTTTGATTTGCTCCCTCCTGGTTTGGCGAGCGAAAGCTGCGACAATCGTGAGCGAGAGCCAGACGTGCGGTGGAATGGGATGAGGTGCGGTGAGCTGGGATGGAAATGATTTGAATGTGGCTGGCCTGAGGGTTGGGGGGAATCTTTGTAGCTGCGCAGCCAGCTGGTGGGGTTTGACGTGTTGCGCGCGAAGGGGGGAAGAGGGCTGGCAAAGGCTGGCGCGGGGGCTAAGAACTTGGCTCTACGCGTTCTGGGTCATTACTTGTCATTACTACCTGTTTAAAATAAATAATTACAGAAAACTCAGGGCATGTCCCAAAATGCCACCTTGATTAACTGAACATGTATAGACAGATTGTGGCTAAATCCCACGTAGATCTTTACCTCTCTTCTTTCAACCCTGCTAATCTGAAAGTGAAGGCACTCGCCGATTCACTTATCCCAGCTCAAGCTTCAGTCTTTACATTCTTGTTGGTCCAGTCAGCTATCAAATCCCGAACCACGAGGTTCGGCATGAGGTGCTTGTGCGGCATGGGCTCGTTGGTGATGGGGGATAGGTCGGCTCGCTCCAGCCACATTTGAATGGCTGCTTTCTCGTAAGTGTACCCGTCTGCTGCTAACACCGGCTCCACCATTATTTTCTGCATGGACAATTGTACCGTAAAGGAAAGATTAGATGGGTTGTTATGGGGATGTGTAGGACAAGCAGCGCATGCAGGGGTGGTGAAACATGGTCATGTCGCATGCCCACATCACAACCATGCTTGGCATGTAACGCCATGCCCGCACTTCCTAGGCTGTCTTCCTCCCAACCAACCTGCACACTCAAGCCTTTTCCAGGAGGACCCCTTCCTTTCAGAGTCTTCCCAAGTTCCCAACCCACCCACCTTGTTGATCCAGGAGCCAAGCCAACTGCAACCCCTCGGGTACATCCCCACTCCCTCCCAAATCTGTTTTTTGAGAATTCTCAAAAACAGATACAAATTCTCCCAAAGCCTTCACCCACCTTGTTGATCGGGCACAGCAACCCCTTGGGCACATCCCCACTCCCCCCCGACCGCCCACCCTCCTTCCCGGCAGCTTCCTCTGCCTCTGCCGCCTCATCCCTCGCCCGCGCCAGCAGCGGCATCACCTCACTCTCCAGATCCGGCCGTTTCTTCCTTCGCATCTCACTGCACCGCACTGCCATCCTTGCCACCTCCATCGCCAGCCCGATCGGCCACTCGCCCGCCTTCTCATCCAGAAGCTTCCCAAAAGCTTCCTCGTCTTCCTCATCCACAGCCTCCTCTAACTCCTCATAAGTCGTCGGCTTGCGCCCGGTCAGAATATCAAATAAAATAATCCCGAGCGCATACACATCGGATTTCGGCCCATAGTCCCCCGTTCGCTGAAACTCCGGGTCGACGTAAGCAAGAGTCCCCACAGGGACGGAATCATGCGCGTGCGTGTGCACCTGCGATCCTGTTCCCGGCATCAGCTTCGCCAGGCCCACATCGCCGAGTTTCGCGACGAGATTCTTATCTAAAAGGATGTTGGCGGGCTTTAAGTCGCGGTGCACAATGGGGATGGGGCGTGCGTGGAGAATGAGGAGAGCCGAGGCGACTTCAGCGGCGATGCGGAGGCGGGCGAACCAGGGGAGGGGCGGCGAGTTGTTGGCGCAGAGCAGGCGCTCCTCCAGAGTGCCGCTGGCCATGAACTCGTACACAATGCAGTGGTGCGACGGGCAGCAGCCCAGCAGCATCACCACGTGTGGGTGCTGTATCTGGCTTAGCACCTCCACCTGAGAGATTGCGGATAGGGGGGAGAATGGGGACCAAAAGACAGGTTCGGATGAGGAAGGCGGGGATTGCAAAGAAGAAAAAAAAAGGGAGAAGGGAACGAGAATGCCATAATGCAGCAGTCGCCACCACCCTCGGTTGCATGTTTCTCACCCTCGGTTGCATGTTTCTCACCCTCGGTTGCATGTTTCTCACCCATTACCCGTACCCACTTCTGCCCCCTAACACCACACCCCTTTTCTCGAACTCACCTCCTGCTGGAACTCGTTCGTGGCTTTGACCACGTCAGTGGCTTTAAGAACCTTCACCGCCACGCGAGTGTGGTGCAGCCGCCCTCCATACACGGTGCCAAACGCGCCCTCGCCCAGCCGGTTCTTCTGGTTGAAGTTGTCCGTTGCGGCCTGTGAGTGGGGTGACGGGGGGAGAAAGAGGAAGAAGGTGTGATTAAAAATACTCAAAGTAGCTGTGCCTGAGGAACTGCCAACAAACGCCCCCTCGCCGCCGGTTCTTCTGGTCGAAGTTGTCCGTTGCGGCCTGTGAGTGGGGTGACGGGGGGAGAAAGAGGAAGAAGGTGTGATTAAAAATACTCAAAGTAGCTGTGCCTGAGGAACTGCCTACAAACGCCCCCTCGCCGCCGGTTCTTCTGGTCGAAGTTGTCCGTTGCGGCCTGTGATGGGGTGACGGGGAGGGGAACAGGAATCTGGTGTAAGACGTGCACCATCTTTGAGAGATTGCTACAAACGCGCCCTCGCCCAGCCGGTTCTTCTGGTTGGAGTTGTCCGTTGCGGCATGTGATGGGTGGGGGAGAAACAAGAACTGTGGTTGAAGAGGTGCATACAGATGGTAAACTCACTCATAGATATTCGAAGCCCCTGGATCTGGGAATCAAATTTACCCAACTGACCACAATTTCACCCCTTCCGCTCTAAGTGTTAACCCACCTGAATCAATTCATAACTGTTCACACGGTACTGCCCTCGGCCAATCACATTCTAAGGTGCCTCAAAACAACCCCCATTCGGCTTAGGTTCAACCCCCCTGAATCTCAGGCCATGTGGATTCAAATTCACCCCATCTGCCCTCAGAGTCAACCCACCTGAATCTCTTCATAGCTGTATACATGGTACTGCCCTCGACCAATCACATGCTGTTAAACGTCTCAAACGTCCAACCCATTTATCCTCCCATCACCCCACCCACCTTAGAGGCAACCCGCCTTAGAGGCAACCCACCTGAATCTCTTCATAACTGTACACACGGTATTGCCCTCGACCAATCACATGCTTGACAGCTCCAGCTCTTTTACCCTTCCCTTCTCCATCCCCTCCTTTCTCCTTCGCCTCTCCCTTCCCTTGCCCCTCCCTCTCTCGCTCCTCCACAACCTCCCCCACATTCCCACTGCTACCGCTAACCCTGCTGCCACTCCCACTGCCACTACCCCTGCTGCCACTGCCGCCGCCGCTGCCACTACCACTGTCACCACCCTCCGTGCCCCTGCCATTATTACCAAACCCATCATCCACAGAACCCCAAACTAGACTAAGCCCTAGGTCAAGCTCGCACCCATCCCCTTCCTCTTCCTCCTGTACCTCTCCCAACTCCCCACCACCCCTCTCTTTTCCCCGCTCACACTCCTCCTGCTCCTTCTCATGCTTATCCCCCCTCCTCGTGTTCTCTCCAGGGCTAAGCAGGTCGATCTGGAGCTCTGACATGGAAAGAGACAAATCCACGTCATCATCTGGCTGCTCCCCTCCCTCTGCACCGCCCGCTCCCTTGTCCATACCCAACGAGCTGCCGCCCAAAAGGTCAACCTGGAGATCACTGGCAGAACCCTCAAACCCTCCAGTAAAGGAAAGGTTGCTATTTTGGGAATGTTTTTTGGTTAGGCCACGGGTGTTGGCAGAGGGAGGACGGCTGTTTGAGTCTGCGCCGTGGAGTGAGCGAGGGGAGAGGGACCTTAGGTCAAAGGTGGAGGATGATCCATCAGTAAACCCCACCACACCACTCCCAGCCGCACTCAATATATCAATCTGCAACTCGTCATCCTCCTCCCCTACCTCCTCCTCTTCCTCTTCCTCCTCTTCTTCTTCGTCTTCTTCTTCCTCCCCACACTCCTGCCCCTCATCCTCATCATCCTCATCCCTCCCATTCCCTGTCTCCCCCCATCTTAAGCCCTCTCTGGTCCCTTGCTCAAATCTGAAGTTCGGGTTGCCTCCTCTCTGCGCTAATCTCTGCGCCGCTGCTGCTGCCGCTTCTGCCACTGCTGCAACTGACGGCTCTGCCCCCCCTGCTTTACCACCTCTGCTGCAACTACCGCCACTGACAGACAACCCCGACTGCCCCGTTCGCCTTCCTGACCCTGCTCCTCCTACTCCTCTCTCCCCTCCATCTTCCTGTTTCGTTTTGCCCGCTGCCCGGGCCAAAGCTGCTTCCACTGAGGCCAGCTTCATCCGGGCAGCTTCAAATTCTTTCTGCGACTGTGCCAGCTCATAACTGTACTGCGACTGGCCGCCCACTTCTCCCTCGCTCCCGCACCTTGCCACTCCACCCTCTCCCCTCACCTGCCCTGCACCCTCCTCCTCCCTCCCTCCCCACGGGCTCGCCTCAGTAGCCGCCTCTCCCCGGCCTGCCTGTGCCTGCACGCGCATCTGCAGCAGCCGCCTCTCTGCGTGCAGCCTGGCTGTTTCCGCCTCCTTTGCCTGTAGCCGCATCTGCTCTATCTCCATCGCTGCTGCGCTCTGGTGTGCACAGGCGGGAAACGGGGGAGAGGGGAGCGGGGGGGGGGGGGAGGGGGGGAGGGGGGGGGAGAGTGGGGGGGTAAGGAAGGGAAGAGGGATGTAGAGTAGACGAAGGAAGGGTTTTGACTCGACTCAAAAGTGCAGCCTGGCTGTTTCCGCCTCCTTCGCCTGTAGCTGCATCTGCTCTATCTCCATCGCTGCTGCGCTCTGATGTGCACAGGACCAAGGGGGGGGCGGTGGAAAGTGGGACGCAGAGGGAGGAGGGGCATTGAGGGAGGAGGGGCATTGAGGGAGGAGGGACGCAGAGGGAGGAGGAAAGCGGAGAAAACAAGCTTTTGAGAGCTAGCACAGACATGTGCTCGACAAATACGGATTCACAGGTGCAAAAATCGTCCTTATGCACAAAGGGACATACCTTCCGGCCTGCCCCTCGTGACGCGTCTCCCACACCAGATGCAGCAGCACCCAAGGCAACAAAGTCAACACCGCCACCGCCAGAACTGCCAGCACCGCCGCTCCTCTCTCTCCTGTGCCTGTCAACACTGCTGCGACTCGCCTTCAGCTTTCTCCCTCCAGCAGGAGAGGTATTCGCGGCCCCATACTCTCCTCCCTCGTACCCCCCTCCCTCATACCCCCCTCCCTCATACCCCCCTCCCTCATATCGCCCTCTGGACGGCTTAAAAGAAGGCGAGAGGCGCGGCAGCGGGCCAGAGCTACTAGTGAGGCTGTCTCTAGCGAGGACAGACGCCAGGCCATGCGTACCACTCCGAGAGCGAGGCGGAGTGAGGAACTGCCCAAGCCGATTGGCACTGGCGGCGTTGCTGTCGTTGGCATTAGCTATGGTGGCAGGAGGGTTACCGATGGGTATGTCACCCCCACTGTGACTGTACCCCATGCCATCATACCCTGTGCCTTCCAGTGACCCCTGGGGCACCTCAACAGGAAGGCCAGATGATAAAGCAAGCTGGTCGCGGCTGCTCTTGCGGGATTTAGACTTTGATCGGGACTTTCTCTTCTCGCCCTCCTGCTGCTGCTCCCCTCCTTGCTGCTGTTGCTGCTGCTGCTGCTGCTGCTGTTGCAGGTGCTGAAGCTGCAGCTGTTGCTGCAGGAGCAGCAGCTGCTGGTTTGGGTCCGCTCCTGGGCTGCTGCTGAAGAGAGGGATTTCCTCGGACCTGCTGTTGTTAAAGCTGCTGCTGCCGCTGACGTTCATGCCGCTGCCAATGCTGATGTTGTTGCTGCTACTGCTGCGCGCCGGGGGTGGGGCGGCGGGCAGCGGACTCTTGTTCCTCCGGCTGGTCTTCCCTGGCTTGCCTGCCACGTGTCAGACGCGTGGGGGGGAGGGTGGCGTGTGTGGGACACGTGGAGAGGAGGGTGGCGTGTGTGGGACACGTGGAGAGGAGGATGGCGTGTGTGGGACACGTGGAGAGGAGGGTGGCGTGTGTGGGGACACAGAGGACGTGAGAAAGCACGGTTATTCAAGGAAAGGGGTATGAAAAAAAGAGGGACAGTGTATCTGTGTGCATCGAAGCAATATTTTATGTCACATTGCAGCTTGTTATCAACACCTGCCTGCCTGCAACACCGCATACCACCTGCACACACCGCATGCCACCTGGACTCACCATCTGCCACGTGGACTCACCAGCTGTCATCTGTGCGGCCAGCAATTGCTCTAATACTTCAGGAGGCAGCCGCAGCGCCGCCAGCTCAGCAGCCGGCGTGTCCAATCGCAGGCCGGCAGCCAGCAGCTGATCCACCAATAAGGGCCCTCCGCCCTGAAACTGACCCGGAGACATGCCCAATAAGGACCCCGTTCCATCCGTAAACCCCCCTCCCGCTCCCCCTCCCCCTCCGCCTCCTGCTGCTTCCTCCGCAGCGGCGGCTTCGAGAGCAAGGGCGTCGAGGGCAGCAGGGGAGCCGGTGATGTGCCCGTCTGCCTCGTGGCTCACCAGCAGCTTGCCCGCCTGAATGACATACACTGACATGTGTGGCGGCTTGTTGCGGATGAGATACGCCCCCGTGCCGAACGAGTCGCTGTGCTTGATGAGGGGGGAATGGGGGAGGGGGGGGGGGGGTGGGGTGGAGGGAGAGAGGAAGGGTGAGTGGCTGACTAGCAGCTTGCCCGCCTGAATGACGTACACGGGCATGTGTGGCGGCAGGATGGGGTTTAGCGAAGAGGCAGAGGAAGAAGCAGAGGGGCGAGACCTTGTCTCATTGTTACCAGAGTGTCTGTCGATGGTTCAATCCGTCCAGCTGTTTCATGAATGAAGCGTGTTGTGAGGCGTGTCGTGAGGCGTGTCGGGAGGCGTGTCTCGAGACTCACAAGAGAGAGGCACAGCACACGCGTGATGGCGCACAGGCATGCCTTAAGGCGCCTGGAGACTCACAGGCTGGGCTGCGCGCCGATGACGAGCATGGACGCCTGCAGGCGCGTGGCCTCCTCCTACTGGCTTGCGAGATGTCTCAGTACAGGGAATAGGGCACCGTGACGGCGCACACTGGCGTGGGTCCAGGCGTCTCAGGGACTCACAGGCTGGGCTGCGCGCCGATGACGAGTATGGACGCCTGCAGGCGCGTGGCTTCCTCCAGAATGCCCCTCACGCGCCAGTTGCTGCGGCCCACCTTCAGCTCCACGCGCGCCTGCACCTGGGGGAGGGGGGAAGGCGAGTGTGGGTGTGTGGGAGAGGGAGGGGAGGAGGGACAACACAATGTGGGGGGAATGGGGAGGAGGGACAACACAATGTGGGGGGAATGGGGAGGAGGGACAACACAATGTGGGGGGAATGGGGAGGAGGGACCGGGAATGGGGGGTTGGCGAGGGACAACACAATGTGCTCACATCCTCCTCACAGCCTTACCTTGGGATCCACGGCGGCCTTGAGCCGCAGCATCATGGGCTTCACCACGTCCCGCAGGTAAGCCACGAACGCCGCCGTCGTCGCCTCGCTCTGGTATATCTCCCCGCCCGCCCCCCCACCACCGTACCCGCCTGAAGGGACAAACGGGGATGGGACGGGGGACGAGGGGGGTATGTGAGCACCCAAAGGCTTTCGAGACGTCTCAAAAGGCCCGCAGGTAGGCCTCAAACGGGGCAGTCGTCGCCTCGCTCTGGTAGATATCCCCCCCCCCCCCGCCCCCTCACCACCATACCCGCCTGCAGGGACAAATGGGGCGGGGGGAAAGAGGGGGACACGTGAGGATACATGTGTAGGCCCGCACATACGTCACAAACGCTGCCGTCGTCGTCTCGCTTTCGTAGGTCCCTCCGCCCGACCCTGCGCTGCCGTACGCGCCTGCACAAACAATCGGAAAACGGGGAAGATACTGAGAATTCTCAAGAATCGCTCGCGGCGACAGTTTGAGACTCGTGACCCGCAAATACGCCACGAATGCTGCAAACGATCGCTCGCTTTGGTAGATCGGCCAAACCTCCCCCCCCCCCCCCCCGCCCCTGCGCTGCTGTACGCGCCTGCAGGGACAACCGTAGGCGGGGAGAAAGGTGGTGGTGGAGGCAGAGGAGGGGAGAGAGAAGGGGATGAAGGGGAGACAGTAGGAGCAGGACACAAAAGTGCAGTGGCGTATGCGTTTATTACAAGCATGTTGTAGCAACTTGCGAATGATTTCTGAGACGCCTGCGGAGCCTAATCGAGTTTGAAGCGCCTATTAGCTAAAACTACGTTCTATAGGCGCCTATTGAACTCGATCAATTCTCAAGGCGTTTATTTTTCCTTTTTTTGTTTTTTCTTATCAAGCCGATATGCCCAAACTGTAACATATCAAGCGCTCGACGCAGTAATGAAGACGCCAGAACGATAGAGTTAAGACACAAAGCCGATTCAGGCAAAAAGGCTTTGGCATGACGCGGGGGAAACAATCGTCACCGCATTTAACGGCGAGCACGGCTGTTCACTGCTACGGCTTTGCCTCTCGGTTACCTTACCGTACTGCACCATGCCTACCATAATGCCTCCCATACCGAGCCTTACCGTGCTTCCCATTCCAAGCCTCCCATACCGAGCCTCCCATACCGAGCCTCCCATACCGAGCCTCCCATACCGATTCTACCACACCGAGCCTACCATACCGAGCCTACCTGGAGCGGAGAGCCTGGAGACGATGTGCAGGAGGATGAGCATGTCATCGGCGCGCTTCATCTTCTTCCGAACCGCCCATTTTATGGCGTCGCGGCTCGACGGGTCCTTGCTCACGGCCACGACTATCCGCTCCGGCCCCCCGCTGAAGGGAGCCATCATGGACCTCTAAGTCTTATCTCTTAAAACCTTCGATATTGTCGCGCTCGCGACCTCTCGCTACCACTCACGCCCTCTCAGTTCCTCTCACGTCTTCTCGCAATGCGGGAACGTTAATGCTTTTGAGTTTGCCTGTTGGATTAAGAATGGCGCGGTTCTTCTTAAATCATCACTCAAAGGAATCATTGTTAGCCTCGCATTTAACCGCTTGAGGTGAAACTCGCATGTGTCTCAAGAAAAGTGGGTCTATAAAACGCAGCCCTTGCGTGATTTGTTGATCGGAAGATGAATCTCGTTCCTTAAGGAAAAAACTCTCATGCGCAATGACTCTGGTAATGGAGTATGGGAATTCTGAGGGCATGCTCAGTGCTGACGTGGTCTACAAGACGCGCCAGGGTCAATGGATCCTTATCCAGACACCACAGGGTGCAGACTATCCTCGTGTGCTATTCGTGTGGGTAAAACTCAAAGCTAATGACCACTGCGGCCTCGCTGGTAAAAGCTAAGGACCACTGCGGCTTCAGTGGTACAGTAACATAAGGACTTCGAAGCCGGGTCGGCTGGAAGAAAGGTGATCCCAAAAGATACACGTAGCGAGCAGGATTCGCGTGAGCCGCCTTTTTCTGCCATTCCTAAGGGCGCGTGTGATCTATTTTCAAGTTCGGAAAAAAGGTCGAGCTTTGTGTGGTTACCAGCTTCGCTAATGTCGTCAGGAAGCTTTGGCGAAGGCATGAGAATTTTGGGGCACATAAGCTCGAATGTCAAATGTGAACTCAACTCGAATCACACGAGTGAACGTGCGGGTGCACGTACGAAGGCCATCCGAAGCTCGCGACCGCTTTGCGAAGGTCGTTGAGCTTCGTTGCGCATCACGTTAACGTGTCGCGCTATACCAGGTAGCCTACTCCCCTACAGGCGGCTCGCCGCCATCCCTAAATGGTCGAATCTCTGTGTTCGACCTTGGGTGTGTGATTGTGACTCGTCTGTGTTGGAGACCCAAGATTCGAACTTCGCTGGAAAGAAAGTCGAGTTTTGCTCAAATGCTACATTCGACCTAAAAACATCAACTTTCACAAATTTGTAAGACCACACGCGCCCTAAGCGGGTGATTGGGTCCTCCGTGTTGGTGAGACGGAACGTGAAATCCATGAGAAAACTATGACACTGAATGGATCAAGGTCCCGCTGCCAGCATCGTCAACTTGCCTTTCAATTTGCCCTGCAGCTCTTCTGCTTGGCTTTCCCTTCCCCCCGAAGTGGGAAACGAGAAAGGCTTGGCAAGGCTGCCTTGGCTGCCTTCCTGCCTTCCACGTCCACCAATCCAGATTCCAGCAGACTTTGCTGCCCGTACATTCAGCGGTCACGCACGGAGGCATCTGCCAAGATGACTCGTCACTCTCGAGGGCTGAATTGTCAGCACAAACTGAAATCGATGCTGCCACGGTATTGTCGGTTTCGCTGCCCACCAGAATGGAAAACTTTTATCAATCGGGACCGAGTTTGTCAGGATTTGTTCAAGCTGCTTTCGATTTGCATTCTCGACGTTTGATGTCGGCGTTCGTACAGCAGGGTTGTCGTGTCGTGAGTCGGAATTTGTGCGTTTTCCCTGCCCTTGATCTGTGAGGAAAGTCATGAAATTCGGAGCCGCACGGATGGCAATGCTGCCCTCTCTCACAATGCTGCCACGACATTTGCTGTAGGGAATCTGACCGCTGATTTTAGCGAACTGTCAACCAAAGCCGACACTCGTTGCAAGCACCCATCATTGCAGACACGTAAGGATTAGATCAACATGATGAAAGGAACCTATACATAGAGAATACAATACCAACGTAATACCAAGGTTAGCCAGAACTTTCTCCCATAGAATACACCCGAAAGCTACAGCCAGCAGGTTGCCTTTTCCCTGCTCCTTCTCCTGTCACAGTCGTTCTTCCACATCCATCCAATACTTCCATCACCAAATTATCATTCTCCCCTTCACATACCAGCCATCATCCTCTCCATCATAATCACAGCCTCCTTTTGTGCTTTCAACAGCACCGGCATCACCACTTCCCCAAGGTCAGGCCTCTTTTTCCTCTTCATCTCACTGCACCGCACAGCAATCCTCGCAACCTCCATTGCCAGCCCAATGGGCCACTTCCCTGCCTTCCCATCCAGCAGCTTTCCCAACGCCTCCTCATCTCCTTCATCCACAGCATCTTCTATTCTCTCATACCGCGCCGGCTGCCGCCCGGTCAGCAAGTCAAACAGGATAATCCCGAGGGCATACACATCCGATTTCGGGCTGAAATCACCCGTCCGTTGATATTCCGGGTCGACGTAAGCAACGGTCCCGATCGGCATAGACGTGTGCGCGTGCGTGACATTAAAGCCCTGGTCCGAACCCCCACCGCTACCCGGCATCTGCCTCGCGACCCCCACGTCGGCCAGCTTTGCTACAAGCCGCTCGTCTAAAAGCACATTCGCGGGCTTTAAGTCCAGGTGGATTATGGGCTTGGGCTGGGAGTGTAAAGCGAGGAGCGCGGAGGCGATTTCGGCAGCGATGCGGAGGCGGGCGAACCAGGGGAGGGGCGGCGAGTTGTTGGCGCAGAGCAGGAGCTCCTCGAGAGTGCCGCTGGCCATGAACTCGTACACTATGCAGTGGTGCGACGGGCAGCAGCCGAGGAGGGACAGCACATGTGGGTGATTGATTTGGCTCAGTAGCTCCACCTGAGGAGTTGCAGCAAGAGACGGGTGTTGAGGGGAGAAACACGGGCAACGGAAAAAAAAAAAAAAAGAGTGAGTGGTGCAAACGAAGGCTGTAAGGACAAAAGCAGGACATTAGAGACACGTTTCACTCGTGCATGACGAGAAACCGTCAAAATTACGACCGTAATTTTGAGCCTTGTGCACGAGGGAGCGGGAGGAAGAGGAAGACGATAGGGAAACGGGCAGAAAAAACAGGAGAAAAAGAAACGAAATAGCGACTTCGACCCGATTGGAAGCAACAGCGGCTGACCTCTCTCTGAAATTCCTTGGCTGCCCGGGTGGCGTCTTCCGTCTTTATCACCTTCACAGCCACCTTGCTGCCGCCCAGCATCCCAGAAAAGACGGTGCCGCAGCCGCCCTCTCCCAGCACCAGCTGGGGGCAGAAATTGTCGGTTGCTCTCTGGTGTATGGGAGAGGGGGGAGTGGGGAGCGGAGAGGGGAAGGGAGTGGGGAGAAAGGAGGGTGTATGGCAATAGAAGAACAATGCAGACGACAGCAAGAGCACAGCACAGCGCTCCTGTCCTCTCCCAACAGCAGCTGGGGACTGATGTTGTCCGTCGCTCTCTGTTGTGTGGGAGAGGGGAGGGGCGTGGCCAGGAGTGGGAACGGGAGAGAGGAGAGCGTGGAGAGTGTATGGATCCCCTCATAAGAGCACATATGGCAAAACACTTCTCAGGCGCCTCAATACGCGGCACAACCAAATCTTCTCACCCTGGTACACGCTGCACAGCATCCCACTCCACGCCGTTTTTTAGGCTTTGGCAGGCATACCTGCAATTCCTCATATGACTACACACACAGAGGTGACTTTTGAGTCGACTCAAAAGTCGCCTCAACACACGGCAATACATCACATCCCACTTTTCAGACTCCACGCCGTTTTCTAGGCCTTTCCAGGCATACCTGCAATTCCTCATATGAATACACACAGATAGCAGTGCCATTCTGTGGTGCCTCAACGCACCTGGATTCTCCTCATAAGAGTACACACGGCAGTACACCCCACTGGACGCTTCCTGCGCTCCTCCCGCTGCTGACTTTGAGTCGACTGAATAGTGAAACCCACACAGTCAACGCACCTGGATCTCCTCATAAGAGTACACATGGCAGTACACCCCACTGGATGCTTCAAGCTCTCCTGCCACCGCTGCACTTGGACACACGGCGGAACGCCTGTAGCGCACCTCGAATCACAGTCAACGCACCTGGATCTCCTCATAAGAGTACACACAGCAGTACACCCCGCTGAACGCTTCCAATGTTCCTGCCACCGCTGCTGCCCCCAAACCTTCTCCCACCCCACCGACCTCCTTCACCCCAGCCACAGCAGACGCAGCTGCTACCATGCCTGCCTCCTTCACTCCAGCCCCAACGGCACCACTGCCATTGCTGGTGCCAGTGCCAGTGATGTGAGCGCTGCTTGCCTCACCCCCGCTGCCAGCCCTGCTGCTCGCACCGCTCCCACTCCCCATGGTGAACGTGCTCCCTGTGCTGCTCGCAAGGCTCAACCCTCCGCTGCCACCGCTGCCGCCGCTGCTGCCGTGCTGTTGCGACCTGGCAACAGCATGAACTACAGAGGCAGCGTCATGTGCATCGCTCCACGTACTGCCGGCCCCTATCTCACCCCCACCAGTAAGCTCTCCTCCTGCCCCCCCTCCTCCCACTCCTCCCCCTTCCCCTCTCCCCTCTCCTCCAAATCCGTTCCCTCCCCACCCTCCTCCCCCTCCCTTTCCTCCTCCCCCTCCCCCTGCTCCCCCGCCCACATTAACACCCTCCATAAGAGCAGCCAGCTTGGCAGCTGCCTGAAGCTGCTGCTGCTGGTGCAGCAACAGCCGTTGCTGCTGCTGCTCCCGCAACTGCTGCAACTCCTTACCCACCCCCCTCTCCTCCCCTTTCCCTCTGCCGCCTCCCTCCTGCCCGTCCCCCATGCGCCTCTCCTCCCCGAAACCACCATCTGCCGCAGGTGCCGCAGTCATCACCGCAGTGACCTCCTTGCTGCTGCTCCCATCCGAAACCACAGAACGATCCGACAGGGAAGAGCCAGCGCGCACGAAACTGCCCTTGCCAAAACTACCACTGCCGCTGCTACTGCCACCACCACCGCCTTCACTGTCCTGCACCGCATGCACTGCATCCGACCGGCTCTCACCGCTCCGGCTCTCGCTGTTCCTCCGGCTATCCCCAGGGGAGGAGCCAGCGGAGGGGATGGAAGAGGAGGAGGCGCCAGGGAGGGGGCTGCCGCCGAGGGAGAGAGCAGGGGAGCGGTCGGGGGGGGTGGACTCGCCGTGCTTGGAGAGGAGAACTTTGTCTTTAGAGACGACTATCACGGAGAGCGAGGGCGGGCGGTTCTTGAGACAGAAGGCGCTCGTGCTGCCTGATAGCTTGCCGCGCCTGTGAGGGGAGGAGGGAGGGGAAAGGAAGGGAGGGGAAGGAGGGGAAGGTGCGGCACGGAGGGGATGGATTAGGGGCTGGTAGTGCAAGAGTCACCCTGACTCATGTTTTCGAAGCCCTTCCTTTTTCCTCTCTACTACTGCAGCCCTTCGAAAACATGAGTCAGAGTAGTGCAAGAGGAGCGGAGCAGGAGGTTACCTCCGAGTCGGTCTTAAACTGCAGCGATCCCAAGCAGTGGCCATGCTACAGCCTAAACCCCCTTACATGGAGAACATCCCGCAGCGCTTGGTACCGAGCACGAGGCGCGTGGCACTCACGAAGCTTGTTCGCCTCCTCCATCCATGATCCCCGCGCCTTGAGACGCCTCATTACCTCTGACTGCGTATGCCTTACAACAGCCTGCTGCTTACATGGAGAACATCCCGCGCCCCTTGGTGCTCAGAACGAGGCACGTCGCCTGCAGCTTCTTCGCCTCCTCCATGATCCCCGCGTCCCGCGAGTCGTTGCGCCCCACGCGCAGCTCCAAGCGCACCTGCGAGGGGCGACAGGCGGATGGGGATGGGGGAGGCGGAGAGGGGAAAAAGGGGATTACAAGCTATGAGGAAGGTAAGCCCTTCCCGTGCCCCTCCCTTGGAATACCATGACCGCCGGAAGGGCTGTACCTTCATCAGGTGTTCGGCTGGCTGACGCACAACACGGCTTTCGAGTCGACTCAAGAGTCACCTCATGACCGCCGGAAGGGCCGTACCTTCATCAGGTGCTTGGTTGGCCGACGTACAACACGGCTTACCTTGGAATCTAGTGCCTCACCTTGGCGTCAATGGCGGCCTTGAGTTGAGCTGCGAGAGCATGGGCATGATGGCGGTGCGCACGTGCTGTGCCAGTCTCGCGTCAGATCAGCTCAGCTAATCTCACCTTCAACGGCGCACTGAGTTGAGTCGAGTCGAGTCGCTCACCTTGGCGTCAATCGAGGCTTTGAGCTGCGAGAGCATGGGCATGATGGCGGTGCGCACGTGCTGCACGATCGCCGTCTTCGACACACCGCTCTGCGCCACGTCGTACCCATCCGGACCTGCCGCAGATATTGGAGTCATTTAAACAACAAAAAACGAAAGATATTTTTCACGAATGGAAAAACGTCCTCGAGTCATCATCCGGACCTGCCAAAGCCGCGTACGGGCACGCACGGATGAAGATCCGACCCGAGATATGGAGGAGTTAACACAACCGAAGCAAACCCGGAGCACAAGGCACAAAAAGCTCGATTTCCTGTAGACGAGTCGGTATGTTCCTGCAACATAACAATGTAGTATCATCTTAAAATTACTGTAACTCCAACTTTCCCTTTCCACACATAGCCACCGCCAGAGACGCGTGACTTAACAGCCAGGTCGGAGAGCGCCGAGTACCTCACCAGCCAGGCACGCCCCCCTACCGCCGGACGCGTCCCATTTTTTTTCCTCCTTAACTCGGCATCATACCCGTCGCATAGTTCGTGTCCCCTGACGCGCTCTTACCCGGCGCTTTGGTGACGATGTGGAGCAGTACGAGCAGGTCGTCGGGGTGCGAGATCTTATTGGCTACGGCCCATCGCAGCGCGTCCTTGCTACACGCGTCACTGCTTACAGGCACCAGAACCCGCTCGTTATTGTCACCCTCCCACGACATTTTCCCGCTCTAAGCTCGACAGCTGCTCCGCTACTCGCTAATGGTAGAGTATTAAGAAATCATTGCCTTGTTTGGAGCAGTCCCCTCCTTTCATTGCTTCTGGTATTAAGAGTACTAAATAAAAACTAATGGTTTCCTATTCTACAGAAAAATGACGTCCTTGAAGCACGGAGGAGAATACCATGAATCGTCAAAATAAAGCTCTCTGCATGTTCCAACTAACGACGAAAAGTGCTCAATGGAAGCAATGGAAGACTATCCACCTCAGCTTTTTGGATCCAAAACGCTAGCTAGTGGTGAGTATGCCCACAGGCGAATGTGAAAGGCGGCGGAAGAATGAAGCTTTTGTTTCAATTCAACGGGAGATCGTGGATGCAAGTCACTGTTGAGACTACTACATGTATGAATTTTAGCGATCTTTCCTATGGTCTGTGGTAGAAACTGAACCAATTTTTAGGGTTCTTAATTTCAGAAGCGACACACACTACTGAGTTGCGGGGCTTCATTGCTGCCGTTTTTGTTGTGCGCCTAGTACGTCGATGCTGGCAGTTTTCGAACCAGAAGGCACTTCAGCGTGAAATGGAATGGAGAGATCTCGGATTACACCCTGCTTGTGAGAATCCAGAAAACCTTTGATTTTACTGAACACACTGGGAAACGAGGGCATTGAACAATAAAATGCTACTACACCAATGAGCGCGCATCTCTCGTAATTGGCTTGAGTGCCCTCATCAAAATCAGTGCATCTGGGCTGCCGCTGCCGCACTGTGGGCCTGACTAAGGGAGGACGCACAGCCCACGAGAGCTATCAAATTGCCCAGGCGGTTCCAACTTTCCCCCAACAGACTCCGCGCATTGAGAGTACAATAATCCCTAAGGCGTGCTAAGTCCCCGCACAGTTCGGAAATGTTGTGTGGCCGAATTTTCGACGACCAAATGGTCGTCATATTTTTCGCGAACAGCGACGAGGTGGCCGATTCAGAGTCGACTCTTTTTCAGCCACCATTTTCAGTTTTGGCGATTTGCAGGCCGGTTCGGAAAAGTTGATAAATTTGCAGTTACTACAGTAGTTGAGTTGTGCGACGGGGTCGCACTTCTGACGACGATATTTCTCATTTGACACGATCGCAAAACTCGTCGTTGGGCAAAACCGTGCGACGTCACAGGCGATTGTCGCACACTGTGTCGACTACTTGGCCGTTTTGGAGTCGACTCGGCGTCGTTTCCGTGTAAAACGGTCATCAAAATCGTTATTTTTATCGGAAAATGCGACTGTCGCCACCTGACTGACGAATGTCGCAAACTAGCTACCTTCGCAGAAACAATACCTAGGTTCCGCGAAGCACTGTACGCGCAACTGTCCAAGTCAAGTCTGACTGGCTGCTTCTGCTGTGGGCAGGACACTGGGCAGGCAAGCCAAGTTGCTTCGGGAAATGGGGCTGGGAGACTACACCCTGTTTCTCGACCCTCTCACCTTGCGCGATTCGCTGCTACAGTGCGGTCAGGTGCCATAAACCGTATGGCTGAAACCTGCGGGCAAAGCCGCACCAGCTGACGGAGTGGTACTGGGGGCAAAAATTTTCTTTATCGCTGTATACCCTTTTCAACCGCTTTGAAACGCTTGGTTAATGTTCTTTACCATGCAGCATCCTAGCTAACCGCTTTCTTGTGAATGTGCTTGTACCGTCGGTGATAAGACCATTTCAAACGTGGTGACGTTCTACAACCAGTGCATGTTCTGCAACCAGATGCTCTGCTAGCGCAAAACAGGGTGTATTCGCCTCCCCCTGCGATTGGTGGGGTGGGGCTGGTCTTGCGCCGCCTGGATAATCGTCTGTCAGGCTGGATTGGCCGCTTATCCAAAAACGAAGGATACAAACAGAAAATCCAGCTAATCACAACGCAGACTTCCCATAACTCTTTACAATCACACCTCTGGTTTCTCTCCTCCACTACACTCTTTACAGAGAGTTCCCTTAACGGACATACGACCTTGCCACCTGGAAAGTATCGAGATGACGCAGACTGACGCAGAATGGGGATCTGCAATGCATCCATCTCGGCCACGTAAGCTGCAGGATCGTCGTGCCTTAGGGCTTTCAGGTGCGGGAGGCTTTTGTTTTCCTCGACGTTTCATATTCCTGCTACCCCTGTTGATCATGGAGAAACTCGTTAAACCTCGCAATCAGAGGTAGGAATGTATCGTAACTCTAGTACTGTAAGATTTCTAGGTTCTCAGAATACTTAGCGCGGGCTAACGTCTAGTTGAAACCCCTACAAACGATTGAGTTTGAGCGGGCAACCCTTACGAATGGGCCGTTTTTTCCTTGCCCCTCCTGAGACATCACACGCGAAGGGATGACGGATGCAGCAGCACAATCTTGTGCTTTCCAGATCTCAAATTTCTATCCATTTCGTGTTCTTCCAGCCATCATCCATCATTTCAGCAGAATAACGCAAGCACAGTATCTTACCTTCTAACATAACGCGCAAAGCCCTAGCGCGACATCAGCGACCGTGAAATTTCTACCGTCCTTCCGGCTTCCGTGCATAATTCGATTTTCGTGTTCCCTCGACCTTGTGTACTCGCTTCGCCTCTCTTTCCCGCGCGAGCCAGTCGCGGAATCGCAGGGTGCGCGATGGCGTCGGAGGACGAGTCGTCGTCAGCCTTCGTGTCGGAGTCCGAGGAGGAGAAGGGTAGGTTCCTTTCTGCGCTCACACGTAGCACTTGAGTCAAGAGCCATGTTTCTCTCTTTGCTCAGTACATAATTACTTAATGTAAGCCTTGTTATGTTCGCTTATGACATCGGAGATTTCTCAGGCTCTGCCTTGCCGTGGCGTGCCCTTATCTCCACCCCCGGTCCGGTTTCTTGTTAAATTGCAACAGTGCCGGAGACCATGGCACGTTCTTCGTTCGCCGTGTCCTTCGCCCCCTTATGTCCCCTTCCCCTGTTCCCTTCCCTCTTTTTTTTCCAGTCTGCTCAAATATGTTTCGCTGGCCAGTCATCCCCTCATTTGTTCCTCCACTTCTTCCTTCTCCCTTCCCTCCCTTCTCATCCCCAACCTCTTCCCCGTGGCTTCTCTCCCGCGGCCTCTCCCGCTATGGCGGCCGTTTATCAGCAGTGCTTGTGGCGAAGGGCGGCGCGGCAGCAGGAGAGGCAATCGAGGAAGCTTCGGAGGCGGAGGCGACGGAAACGGCAGAAGAGGACACGGAAGCGGAGGAGACGGCGGAGGAGGATAACGACGAGGACGACGACGACGATGAGAAGGACGAGGAGGGCGGTGCGGCGGAGGCGGAGGAGGAGGTGGTGATGCTGCTGTGCGTGCTGAGTCTTGACGACGGCGACGTGCTGCGGAAGCGCAAGATCTGGCGCCGCATCGCCGTGCCGGCCGACTTTTCGCTGCTCGAGCTGCACGTCGCGCTACAGGTGAGTCAAGTGCTTGGCGCGCTGCAGGTGAGCGGATAGTCACGAAAAGAGAAAAGAAGAGAAGAGAAGAGAAGAGAAGAGAAGAGAAGAGAAGCGAAGAGAAGCGAAGAGAAGCGAAGGGGAACGGAGGAGCGCGAGTGTTGAAAAACGAGATTGCAACTTGGAAATGTTCTTGCGAACGATAGGAGTGACGGTTCGCGTGTCAACGATGTGGTTCGCGCCCTGTCGGATCATTAGGCTACGGAAAAATGTAACATTTACACAGCGTTTTTACAAAACCTGCTCCGACTACTCTGTTCCTTACCGTGTGCCGATCTAATTGATTGACGGACCAGACGAGATTGGTTTCAGTGGTCGTGTGTAACACGGTTACAAAAGCTGCCTGGCGAGTCTTCATCACGAGTTACCTCTTGTCGTACACGCGTCGTCAGCCCCACCTGTGGCCCCGCCTGTTCCACGGCGCTGCTTCTCCGCCATTTTTTCTAGCACTCGTTTTGCCATTCCCCGTACCCTGCACTCCACCCTCCCTCCTCCCTTTACCCCGCCGTGACAGAACGCGTTCGACTGGGAGGACACGCATCTCCACGACTTCACCCAGCCGCGCCGCCACGCGTGGCGCCGCCTGCTCGACCCCGCCGCCGTTCTGGCTGACGAGATCACCGACTCCGAGGCCGAAACCGAGGGCGCTACAGCCAAACCCAAGCCCGCTACAGCCACCGCCGCTACAGCCGCCGCAGGCATCATCGCTTCTGCTACATCCGAGGTTCTCCCGCCGCTCCCCGACACGCAGTACCGGGGGTTCGGCCGGACGGATCTTTCGGCTGTAGCGGAGCTGCTACAGCTGGATTTGGACTCTCTGCCGCCCGGTTTCACGCGCACGTTCAAGACTGTAGCGGGCGCCAAGGAGGAGGCGGCGGACGATTTGATTCTGACGCCCGCGAGTTTGGATCTGGGCGGGAGTGCTGAGGTGGTGTTTGTGGAGCATGCTGACGTGGCAGCGGCGGGAGAAGGCAAGGAGGTGGCGTTATTGACGGGACCTGGCGAGGTGAGGAGGGGAGTGGGGAGGGGGGATTGTGAGAGAGTGGAGTGTGGGGTTGCGTGGAGTGCACGGGGGAAAGTGGGGGAGAGGAGTGGGGAAATGTGGGGTGTGTGGATTTTCTGGGAAAGGAATGTGGAGGAGAGGTCCTTGTGTGCACCGCCACACACTCCCATTCCCTGCACCCCGCCTCTACTCCTCACTCTCCTGCTCCCCACCCTCCTGCTCCCCACCCTCCTGCTCCCCACCCTCCTGCTCCCCACCTTCCTGCTCTCCCACCCATGCTTCCGTTTTCCATCACTCCCCTCTCTCTCTTCCTCCCCCCCACATCAGGTGCTGGACAAGAGGGCGTTCGAGGTGGGAGCAGTCTTTTCAAAGACCGACCCGCTGCTGGTCTACCAGAACGACTTTGGGATGAGCTACGAGGAGCACCGGGAGGCTTGTGCGACCTCGACTGAACAACCAACCACCACTTCTCTCTCCTCTGCTCACCCTCCCCTGCTAACCCTCCCCACTCCCATTTCTCTATCCCCCCCTCCCCCATCAGGTACTGGACGAGAGGGCGTTTGAAGTGGGGGCGGTCTTTTCAAAGACCGACCCGCTGCTGGTCTACCAGTACGACTTTGGCATGAGCTACGAGGTGCACCTCATTTTCGAGGGTAAATTCCCCGCCACCGAGGGGGTGAACTACCCGACGTGCCTGGCGGGCGCGGGAGCGAGTCCAGCAGAGGACGGCAACGATATGGATGACGAGGGCGCGCTGCTGCCTTCATACGACTACACCGACTTTGCTGTGCTTGATGTGAGTCATTGGGTTGTGCTTGGTATATGAGTAGGGGCGTGGGTGGTATTGTTTGTCATATGGGGATATGGGGAGCGGGGGCGAGTCAAGAGGGGGGTGGAGCAGACTCCAGCAGAGGACGGCAACAGTATGGACGATGAGGGCGCGCTGCTGCCTTCGTACAAATACACGGAGTTAGCAGTTCTCGATGTGAGTGGGGATGTGAGTGGGCATGTGGGTGGGTGGTATTGTTGTATGGGGAACAGGTGCGAGTCCAGCAGAGGATGGCAATGATATGGACAACGAGGGCGCGCTACTGCCTTTTTAAGAATTCTCAAAGAGGGCTTGCTGCTGCCTTCATACGACTACATGGACTTTGATGTTCTTGATTTGAGTCATTCGGTTGTGCTTGATACGAGTAGGGGGGACTGGGTGCGAGTCCAGCAGAGGATGGCAATGATAAGGACAACGAGGGAGTGCTGCTGCCTTTTTTAGAATTCTCAAAAAGGGCGCGCTGCTGCCATCATACGACTACACAGACTTTGCTGTTCTTGATGTGAGTTCACGCAGCTGGGGTTGGTGTAGTGTGCTGGATGTAGTCTGCTGGATGTAGTGTGCTGGATGTAGTCTGCTGGATGTAGTGTGCTGGATGTAGTGTGCTGGATGTAGTGTGCTGGATGTAGTCTGCTGGCTGGTTGGTGTAGGACCAACCAACCCCAGCTAGGTCTGCTGGTTGACTTTGGTGTCTTTAAGTTCACACTGGTGGCCACCAGTGAGAGAGCCAACCCTTTCCTTACCTTGCTCTTCCCTGTCGGCCCTCTCTCCCTGTCGGCCCTCTCCCCCTGTCGGCCCTCTCCCCCTGTCCCACTCCGCTCCGCTAGGTGCTCGCCAACTTTGAGAAGACTTTTGAGGACTCGTGGCCAGTGGGTCCAGGCTCGGAAGACAGCATCGACGCTCCCCGATGCTACATGTGCAGGTACGTTCGTGCCGAACCTACATGCGCAGGTGTGGCCATACCGGAACCCAGATGCATGTTTTGAACCAGATGGTTCGGAACTTCCTCGAGCTCTAGACCATTTGCCCTAATCTCACCCGTATTTAAATATTAAATTTATTTATCCAACCCACCCTCCTCTCCTCCCTGTCACTACCTGTTCTTTGCCTTCTCCTCTCCCCTACCTTCTCGCACTCTCCCTCCCCCTACCGGCACCCTTTCCGCCTTCTCTTCCCTCCCACCCACGTCACCCACTACCCTCCTCACCCACTCCCCCCGCATGCCATTTATCCACTTAACCCGCCCTACCTGCACTATCTCAGGTACAACCGCGAGTGTGGGCGGCGCAGGGAGTGCACGGGCAAGTGCTGCGGCTACTGCCTCAAGACCCCCCTGCACCTGCTTGCCGGCTCCATCCCCCTGCGCTTCTCCCCTACCCTAACCCGCCCTCTCCTCTTCCCTGCCCTGTTTGACTGCACTATCCCAGGTACAACCGCGAGTGTGGGCGGTTCCATCCCCCTGCGCTTCTCCCCTACCCTAACCCGCCCTCTCCTCTTCCCTGCCCTGTTCGACCGCACTATCCCAGGTACAACCGCGAGTGTGAGTGGCGCCGGGAGTGCACGGGCAAGTGCTGCGGCTACTGCCTCAAGACTCCTCTGCACCTGCTTGCTCTAAAACCCAGCTTATTGCAATATGCCCTAGTTTCAACCGTCTGCCTGCCTCCCCTCTACCCCATCCCCCCTCTCCCAGGTACAACCGCGAGTGTGGGCGGCGCAGGGAGTGCACGGGCAAGTGCTGCGGGTACTGCCTCAAGACCCCCCTGCACCTGCTTGCCGGCTCCATCCCCCTGCGGGACGCCGATGCCGCGTATGAGGGTGCGGCACAGAAGCTGCTGCAGGAACAGAGGAAGGCCGCTGAGAGCGCAGAGGCATAGGCTCCTGGGGAGTTTCACGGGGTGGGTGGGCCTGCGGCTGAGGGGAAACCCTCAACCATCCCCCTGCGCAACGTCAATGTTGTGTATGAGAGTGTGGCACAGAAGCTGCTGCAGGAACAGAGCAAGGCTGCTGAGAGTGCTGAGGCATAGAAAGTGTTCCAGGATGTGTGAGTGGGTGGGCGGGTGGGCGGACCTTGGGTGGTGGGCATGAGCAGGGAAGGTGGGCAAGAGGTGAGTCGCCGGGTGGGCCGGACCGAAGCCATTCCCAATGTGTCTTGGGAACAAATTGTTGCTGATTTTTACCGCCTCATGAGTAGATGGTGTACAGTAGAAGCTGGGAGGGAGGCAGGCAGGCAGGCTTTTTGGATGCTGACTTGGCTTATGGTGAAAATAGGCATTTATTGACAATGTTACAGCAACATTGGTGAATGCGTGTAACAGTACACTAAGTGCTTCATCAATTCTGGAAGCAATAATGGGGCCCACTCACAATGCATAGAAAAGAGGAAGAGGGTTTTTAGGAGATAACCCTGGGTAATCTTGCATTGCTCCACCAAATGAAGACCCAGACCAGCAACTCCTCACAGCACCAGCAGCAACTCCTCACAGCACCAGCGGTCCAGCAGCAACAAATGGGCAGCAGACCTGATGCATCCCAAGTCAGAAAAGGTCAATGCACTGCCTCCAGCAGTCTTCTCATCCCACCCCACCCCACCCCATCCCACCCCACCCCACCTCATCCCACCCCATCCCACCCCACACCACCTCATCCCACCCTGGTATTGTCTGTTGGGAACAAATAAGTTAAGCGCCTCTGTCGTGTCAGTACTCAAGACACAAAACGAAGCAGCTCAAGTCGAAGCAGCGCGAGTCAACCAACGAGGTTAACGTAACCGTCGGAGGTTACGGGAAAGTCAAAGGGCAGCGACTTTTGACCTGACGCAGCGCGACAGCAAGGACAAACAACTGACTCGACATTGAGCAGTTGCCCGAGTCGCACTGTATCGAACCGCAACAGTAAAGTTAGTTATAATGTCTCTTCATATACTCTGTACTCATCTATTTATATTCTTGTATCTCTTTGCTTTTATCAACTTACTTTGCCCCCACATACTAGCGCAAGGTGGTTCAAGAGCTTTATTCAACGCTTCCGCTATTACAACATCTACTCAGACTTTAACTCTACAAAGATCCTAGGGCGTTTCAGCCCAACATGGTATGAGAGCAGTTAGAGTTAAAATTCATTATTCAACACTCAGTACATCAAAGAAGATATGTCTGCTAGAAAGGAGAGGAGCTCCTCCAACGGCTCTCCCGGTACTACCCCTACTCCACCACCTGCCTCTGGCCTATTGACAGAGGAGGGGACAACGACGAGACCAGCAGCTGGGTCTACGGAAACACCCGCAAACCAAGGCGCGGGCTTCGATCCAAGCATGATGCCTACGAGCAGCACCAGCAAGGAGCACCTGCGTAACCAAACAACAGCAGCAACAACAACAACGTGACGCCTATGAGTCTCGATGGCTCATCCTACGCGCGCGGGAATCAACATCAACAACCCACCTTTGCTCCGTACGAGCCCCAGCGTGGCTCCGTCAGCTTTATGCCGCAACCACAACCTGCACCGGGACAAGAGAGAGCACAGGACGCATTACAAGTTCAGTCGCAATTCGCGCAGGTTTTAAAGCTGCAAATGACAAAGCCCTTTGACGGAAAAGACTTCTTCACCTGGTCGTTCGAATTCGAGCTGATGATGGAAGGAGCGCAAATCCTTGGCTTCTTCGACGGGTCCCTGCCATATCCAACAAACGGCACACAGTATGAGAAGCAGCAGTATACTTATCAATCAATGATGGCGTACACTATTCTACTGAGGAACATTACCCCGACCCAACAGCAGAACATCAGGCCTTACCGAGGCTACGGCAACTCCGCGGAGCTCGCGTACAACCACCTGAAGAACCTCTATCAAGCAACAGACAGTGTAAACCAAAGCCGGTTAATGGCGCAGCTGACAACAATCGAAATGAAGCCAGGCGAGAAAGGCATGGAGTATATCAGTCGCTGCCGCGAGCTGCGCGACAGGCTCCTTCGATGTGGAGGTTCACTTTCAGAAGACGCCTTCGTCACGGTCGTCATCGGCGGTCTTGTCCCTCAGTGGCGCTCCACTCGCGCCATATTACGAGCACACGGAAGAATCTCCGAAGCGGCACTCTGCGCCAAAATCCACGCCGAGCAGCAGGATATGGACCTGCAAGAAGAACGACATAAGAAAAAGGCATCAGTACCAGAATTCGCCTTTCACACCCAGCGACGCTACAACAATATCAACACTCGACAGCGACAACAACCGAAGCCAGTACCTCCTTTTTGCCATATCTGCAAGACTTCAGGACATCCTCGCACTCACTGCCCGTATCGTCATCAATCGACAGCACCAAAGCGACAACTCCGACCTTCGAGCGGCCAAGTCACCTCGACGCAAGCAGCCCCAACAACTTCAGTCCAAGCTTCAACGACTCCAACAGGACAACCTGCGCAAAAACCAAGGAATATCGTCAACTGCATGGTGAAGATAACCGACTCTTGCACAACCGAGTCACCACCGTATTACTCACCCGAAGAACAACTTGACAACAGCACGCCTCGCCGCGAGTCTCTTCAACCGAATCCGACGTACGCCGCCATTGCTCAAAGTGAACCATCCGGGAAAGATACTTGGTTCTTGGACAGTTGCTGCGGACAACACATGTGCTCTTCGGGACGCTTCGTCCAACGCGAACATCGACATCATTGAGAGGTCGTCATCACAGTTGCCAACAATCAGAACCTGCGCACACGACGACAAGGAGTGGTACAGCTTCAGTCCAGGGAGACTAATGTTATACTACACATGTCAAAGGTACTAATAGCAGAAGGACTCGGCTACAACTTTCTGAGCGTCAGCCAGTTGATGGCTAAGGGCATCCACCTGGAAGCCGACAGCACCACCCAGGAATTTAAATTATATCACGAGAAAGGCGGCCTTTACATCGGGAAGGCAGTTCTGAAGAACAACGTCTTCGTCCTGGATTTCGTCCCGGACCTGGGCACCGCAGACAGCGACGCTATTGTTAACTTCACGGACTGGACGCACCCTCCAGATCTTGATCCAGACTTCAGCCCGGAAGGCTTCTGGTACTCCCATACTATCCCTGAAGCAGAACAAACACGCGCATTAGCAACAATACAATACTCGACAGCAGCAGAGACAACATCGACAGCAGCAGAGACATCGTCGGCAGCAGCAGAGACATCATCGGCAGCAGCACAAACAACAACGACAGCAGCAGAGACATCATCCGCAGCAGCAGAGACAACATCGGCAGCAGCAGCAGGAACAACGACACCAGCCCTCGTCGACGAAGAACCACCAACACCCGCACAGCAGTTGAAACCAACTCCACGAGAAGCCCACAGAAGCGCAAACTTCGTCGCCAACTTCTACTCCAACTCCGACACGTATCGACGATCACCCGGAAATCGCGCCTCCGAAGAAACCTGGCACGCACGATTGGGACATCCAAGCAACACAGTCTTAAACAACACGATAAGAGCAGGAGTTCTGGACAAAGACTCCCTACTACTACCCGATGGCAGAGAACTTCAAAAGGCACGAGGGACTTGTCTTACCTGCCCCGAAGCCGACTTACCACACCGACCGTTCGCTCCTCATCACAGCCCGAGCGCACCGGCGTACGCACCACTCGAGAAGGTGTAGAACGACATCCTCTACAATCGCGAACCAGGACAAGTCACCTACAACTATACGATTACCTTCATCGACGCCGCCACTCGATATGGCTGGCATCTAAACCTACCAAGCCGCGACATGGCACTCGCAGCGTTCGCCGCCTGGCTACCAGTAGCAGAACGAGAGTCGGGAGAACAGCTGAAAAGATTCCAGTCAGACGGAGGAGGAGAATACACCTCTCAACGCTTCAAGCAGTGCCTGGCGGAAAGAGGAATCAAGCAACTCCTCTCCCTTCCCTACGCCCATCAGCAGCAAGGTGTCGCAGAACGAATGAACAAGACTCTGTAGAATAGCATGCGCAAACTGTTACGTGGCATGCGGCTACCCAACCACCAGTGGCCTGCAGCAATGGACCACGCTGTCATGCTGCACAACTTGATGTCGTCGTCCTCACTCCCGAACAACGCATCACCGCATCTGCTGTGGACAGGGAAGCAGGGCAGCACAAAAATGTTACGAGTTTTTGGGTGCATGGTACAGTATCGACCCCCTGAGGCACGAGCGGGAAGATTTTCACAACGCGCACAGTGGGGAATACACCTCGGCATCGAAAAGAATTACAACGCGTGGAAAATCTTTGACGTCCACTCAAAAGAAACAGTAGCAGCACGTGATGTGATCTTCTACGAACGCCTCACCCTTCAGACATACCTCGCCAACTTGCACGAGAATCAGGACCCCACATGTGGCTTTCGTGGTGACCGAGCATTCGCCTCAGCAGCAGACGAAGCAGATTGGGACAAGCAGAACGTCGACAACGCTTCTGAAGAAGCCGGACCTCTCCCGTTCTGCTCCGTCAACGTCCCCATGGACGAAGAAAATCCTCGCGAAAGTGCCAACGCCGAAGTCTTCTATCACTTCGCCGACAATGGTTACGTAACATCTGCAACAGCCAACACCAACGAAGCACAAAGAGAAGGACCAAATTTCATACCCGACCCAGAAGCGGGAGATGAAGCAGCTTATCCCGAGGACACAACACTCCCCCGCTACTCACAGACCGGACTGCAGATTCTCGGCCTCGTCACCGCAGTCCATGGCTCCTCTCTTCCTAAAGAGCCTGCGACAGTTCAACAGGCTGTGGGGGGGGAACATAAGGAGAAATGGCGTGAAGCCATGGACAGAGATTTAAAAGCATTGGAGGAACGCAACACCTGGAAAGTCGTTCCAGCAAGCATAGCAAGAAACAAGACCATTCTTACCG